AAATTCAATTCTGATGTTTTATTTTAAAGTAAAACTTTTCTTTGAATATAAAGTGAACAGCATATCAAACATACGTGCACATATTCCCGATCACAGGTGCTTGAGGACCCCCCCATATAGATTCTAGGGCCTGTTAAACTTTTTTTCAAATAAATAATATATGGATGAAACAATTGTGATATAATCTATCCTATCAATTCAGAAAATTTGCTTAAACTAACATTTTATAAAAATTTCTATACGATATTTTCTATTTCGATAAGATCTATACCAACAAATCGAAAAATTACATAAAGCAAACATCCTATAAAATCTATCCTACATTCTATATATAAAAATCAATTTATAAATACAAAGTGGGGTAGAAATTAAGTGTAAATTTTACACATTAATGTGTAAAATTTACAGATTAAAGTGTAAATTTTACAGATTAAAGTGTAAAATTTACACTTTAAACTGTAAATTTTACAGATTTAAGTGTAAATTATACAGATTAAAGTGTAAAATTTACAGATTAAAGTGTAAAATTTACACTTTAAAATGTAAATTTTACAGATTAAAGTGTAAATTTTACAGATTAAAGTGTAAATTTTACAGATTAAAGTGTAAAATTACATATTAAAGTGTAAAATTTACAGATTAAAGTGTAAATTTTACAGATTAATGTGTAAAATTTACACTTTAAAGTGTAAATTTTACACTTTAAAGTGTAACTTTTACACTTTAAAGTGTAAATTTCATACTCTAAAGTGTAAATTTTACAGATTAAAGTGTAAAATATACAGATTAAAGTGTAAAATTTACAGATTAAAGTGTAAAATTTACAGATTACAGTGTAAATTTTACAGATTAAAGTGTAAATTTTACAGATTGAAGTGTAGAAATTAAAAAAAAGTAAAGTGTGCAAGTGGCACTAATACGCTTCCGTAATTAACTTATCCAAATGTTCTGGTTTTTTCCCAAAGGATGAAAAAATGAATTTAAAAACTGAAGCTTTGTCTTTCTGTGACGGTTTGATGGGTGAACAACCCTGCTGTCATAAACAATAATGACTAAAGTATGATTTTTGAGAGTGAAAATCTCAATAAAAAAAATATTGTATGTTGCATGATAATATTGGATTTCGTCATGCACCTTCACAACACCAATGCTGATGAGACAAACGTGAACTGTCATTTGTTGTGACGTGACCTGGGGCTTCCAATATTAAGAATTATTTATGACAATTTTCAAAATCTATAATTAAACACAGTACGATTTAGATGCTGAAAGGAGCTCATTTAAAAGCGTCAGAGTTTATGAACTTTTTGAAGTGTGTATATGTAACGTATATGTTAATTTCCGTAATCCCCCCGCTGTATAAATCTGTGATTTGAACAACCTGATACACGAATGAGCTATAGATATACGTCAATTATTCAAATTTTTCTCCGTGTCTTTCCATGCTTGTGTATTCGAATGCTTGCTAACTCTGCATTTTTACTTAAGCATACCAGGTAAAATACCCCAAACATTTTACATCTCCTTTTAAAATACCAAATTTAAATTTAATTTTCGCTTTGCTATGCTCTGATGAACCACTGGCAAACAGATGCAATCTTTCTTTGCATTACTCAAGCATATTGGGCCTAAGAACAATATGCTAATATACAATATCCAAGAAATTGTACCATTTTATTGAATGGAATCTTTTCTGTAAGCGTCCGAATTAATGAACAAAGTCAACAATTAGAAACGTCGTTGGTAACACCCCCTCCACCCGTTTTTACGACCTATATGCAAAAATGCAAAAACTGACTGAGTAGTTTCCTCAGACAAAAAATTTGCCATCATCCCTTTTTATGAAAAAATTTTTCTTACGTTGGTTTTTAAAAGGGTTTTTCCAAATGTTACAACAAATAGTTAAGTTTTTGTATATGCGCTGTTGCCATATTAAAATGCATTAACAGACTGAGTTTGTACCAGTTTGACGTGATAAATTAACAATAAACATTTTATAGATAATGATATATCACTGGGAAAATGATCTGCTTTACTGAACATCCTGCACACTTGATAAAATGCAGTGTCATTAATACCACAATTAGTTTCATTGATGCCGAAAGTTTCAAAAGAAGGATTCTACAAAGAAGGTGGGGAAAGACAGGTTTAAGTTTCAAAAGAATGATTCTACAATATTAAAAAGGAGAGGAGAGATTTTATTTAATGAAAACCTACTTCTATTTCCCTTCGCCTATATTTTTCAAATTGTTTTGCTTTGCGCAATTTAAACAAGTTCGATCCTAACAATGCTGAGAAGTTTTGTGAAGTTTTGAGGGTGAGTAGAAGGTCATTATACCTGAATATTTTTATATAGGAGAGCTTTCCTTATAGAAATGTATTTTATTTAATGAAAACCAACTTTCTTTTACATTTTCACTTAGTAGACGAAGAACAACCTTAGACAACACATTCAAAAACTCAAATGGTCTATGCAATTAGGACAAATGGTTTGGCTTTGGGGACCAAACTAAACTGATTTCCTCCACTTTAGTCTGGTTAGCACGGCTCATTTCCTTTTAAAGTGGGTATAGAACGAGGACCAATATAGGACTGTGTTGTCATAAGAAAGTGCTAATACTTAAGCTCTTCTGACACCGTTCGTTTTCTTGACCTAACAGAATTTTAAATGTTGAATCAAGTGGATCAAATTTAAAGACGAAAACAGAATCCACGTTCGGAAACTCATTTTTGTCAACCCGCGTTCCACATCGTTCATGTCCACTGCATGTCAGAGCACCGTGCATATATTGTCTCTATGCTGTAACACCCTTTTAAAGATAAACGTTTTTAGGATGAAGTGCATTACAGAGTAAGAAATGTTCACTTAATGGTCTACAACGACTATAAATAGATCTATGTGCTTGCTTTCTCTCTTTGCATGGATACTCAAATGATAGGGGACTTTTGAGAAAAGTTTGCAGAGGGTGGGTCTTGCGATACTTAAGATTTTTGGAAAATTACCTTGAACTTAGATTCCTGCAAAGCGTACATTGACTTTACAACTATCGTGATTTTATAAATATAGTTATACATATGCATTTATGTACAGCTTTTTGTATCAGTAGAGGCTTTCCCCTTGTTTGAAGTCGTTTCATTATTTGCTGAGCATGGAACTTTTATGATCTAACACCACGAGATAAAGCATATTAAGCAGTTGTTTGACCGTGCTGTCGGGGGTATTTTACTGATCACACATACATTATTCATTGACCTGCTGGAGAAAGTGGAGGTGTGAATATTTAATGTGAATAACAAAACGCCATTATCCTGCCTTCCGTGGTTTAAAAATCAGCTCCATCCTGTTCTACTGACTGAATGTAACAGTTCTATAAAACCCTTCAGATCTGGGTGTTGTAAATGTAGAAAGGTTCTATACAACAGTTTGGTGTTGATTCTTGATATCTAATGCTCGCCATGCTTACACTTGATGTAGATATTGGTTCTTCTGGCGGATCAGAAGTATGTAAAGTTAAACTGAGTAAGAGTAATCAAAGAAACCCAGTCATACAAAGTCTCATTGTGTTTTAAATTTCGACTCTGACAGAAGAGGAAAAGAACAAACAAGACAACACAGTGTAGAGACAAAAACAGAGATTTTAGAACCCCTGGTGTAAAGGACATTAAGCACAATGGATCCCTGGTTGGAAAGAAACACATTATCGTGAAAATAAAATCCACATGGACGGGATACACCTTTTGTTGCTGGTCCTCCTAAATGAATCATCCGGGTACCACACACAATAGTCCCTGCATATCAAAACCTCAGATTGCAATATTAAAGTTTTTGTCTTATGGAGAAGATGTATATTGCATGGTAGATCATCGCTCGTTTGTTGTCAATGGTTCAAGTTCAATTTGACTCTTACGTCGACTTTACATTCATGCCCCTTTTTCACATCGAAAGTAAATTGTCTTCAGATACATTCCTGGCATTTATCGAGACTGGTACATGCACATATTACATATATAGGCATTCAAACCTAGCTATATTTACATAAGATTTCTTTCGAATGCATGCAGTGAACGTTCGCAGAGGTTGAACCACATAAAATTTTAGATGTAGTACATTGCAGGACAGTTTCTACCAAAACTCGTCCATCAACTGGTTCATAAAACTGTTCACGGTATCTTGAATTTTGATCCCTATTCTAGCTATGTGACATTAGACTAAACAGATGGCTGCAGTTTGATATTGATTTATTTATACTTATGGTCCTCTATACGTTTCAGAATCATTTAATAACTATTTACTTTTAAAAATGATACGAAGAGAACAAATGTATGTAAAAATCACAAATCTATCTATACTAGTAAACAATACAATTAATTTACCAATTCTGATTTTTTTCATTGAAATACGCAAAACACTCCCCCCTTGATGTTTATCTTGTGTAAATATCACCAAATTTACCAAAAGTAAAGGAAGTTAAATTTACCTATATGTCACTTAGGTGCAGTGATAAACGAATAGATTGCGTCAATTTACATACACCAACATTGCTCGTGTTAATAAAGGAATCGCCTAAAATATACAGGTAGTGTAATGAAATAATTCATGTGTCTACTTGTCCTTTGTTTAAACAACCTTCGTTATATACGTCAATGCATCCTGTTCTCTTTTGAAAAAAAATGCACTCATTAAGTTTTTTTTTTTCATTGGTGAAGGTTTTTAAAGTCACTTTTATATCGAGTAATGCATAGCAATGATTGTAAAGTGTATTATAATATGAATGTCCACGGGTCTGACTTTTGACATCTATAATTATTCATACTAATGCGACCCTGAGCCAGACATCTATAAATATGACCCAAAGCCCGAAGGGAATTATTTCATGGGCTGCATTTAACAGGTTATAAGCAAAATGAAAAACAAAAAACAATTCAAACAAAACAAAATGAATTTGCAATCCAGTGGTAAAAGAAAAAAGTTTCTTTAACTTTTTCATTTCTGTACTCACCCCCTCCGTTTTTGTAGCAGAGGTACGGGAAACGCCATACATTTCCAAGTCCAACAGAAAATCCAATGCATGCCAAAAGAAAGTCTATTTTTCTGGTCCAGGTCTCCCTCTTCTTGATTCCTTCCCCGTGCTCCTCCTGGATTTCTAATCCTACATTATTTGCCTCACTTTCCTTTCCCATTTTGGGGAAGTTGTTGGTAAGGGACGCTTTGAATTCTTAAAAAATGAACACTGTGTCTTGTAGGAAGGACTTTTCACGCGGAATCCATAAAACAAAATATTTGTAGAAAAATAAACGAAGACAGTCGCTTCGTATATGTGAAGAAATTAAATATACCCTCTACGATAAGAAAATCATCCAAGCTTGCAAAAGAGTCCTTTGAATGATTTTTACGGCATCAGTCGAAGTTTAACCTAACTGCATTCAAAAAAGATTTACATCGATACTTTTCTGTTAAAATAAAATAAAAAACCGGTACACAAAAGAAAAAATTAAATGCCCTTCGATGCTAGGGAGGGTCTTAGAGTTCAATAGACCTGCTATGGGGCGACGTTAAAGTTCACCTATGAAGAAGCGGGCCTTGTGACAGTGTATACATACAAGATTTAAGGCCCGCGGTCAACGTGTTATATGCAAAATAATGACTCATATGAAGCCTTCAAACCTAATTAATAATATTGCTATCAAACACTTTCAATTTTTTTCCAAGTTAAACATTTTACAACATATTGTGAAGGTTCATGACTGACATCACAATACAAAACACACCTGTGACGTTTGGATAAGACCTTGCAGAAAGGTACAAAATTTTCCATTACGTATGTATTTATTGCATACAAATATTTTGTTATTATATAAGATAAAGACTCAATACATCGCTTGTAAACTATGTATATATCTGTGTCATTTAAATCTTAAAACACACTTAAGGATATACCCCGGTATACAATTCATTATTTTTCATGAATAAGTTTTTATTTGGATCGAAAAAGGTCCAGATTTAAATAGGAAATCTAGCCAAAACAAAATATTGCTGAATAATCCAACTTTATATCACCCTGAATAAATCCCTCGTCCGGTTGGTACTTAAGGAAACCCCTATTAATCTTAATCTCACTAATCAGGAATCCTAATTCCTCTATGTGTGATTAAATCGATATCTTGTCTTGATATATTGACCTAGTCAGTCTGATTTATTCTTTATTATACCCCCGCTTGGAAAGCAGGAGGGTACATAGTGATCGGGATGTCCGTCATTCTGTATGTGCATCTCTTATCCGCAACTCCTCTTACCACTGAATAAAATTTTATGATACTTTCACCGAATCTTTATTACATAGTGTCACTGTGCACCTCCTATTTTACTTTTTACACACCCCCACCCCTTTTTAAAAATGGGAAGGCACTAGTATATAGAAATGAGATGTCCGTCTGTACGTTCGCCCATCTGTTATGCATTGGGATATCCATCTCTTAAACGCAAATTTTCTTATACCACTGAAGAAATTTCGTGAAACTTTCACAGAATCTTTGTTACATGTACATGGTGCCATTGTGCACCTCCTATTTTACATTTTGATCCGGCTATTATTATGGGTTTCCCAAATCAGAACACGGATAGCAGGATACTGCCATTCTTTCTGAAATATTGAAGGCTACCAATCTCTTATCCGCAACTCCTCCTAAACCAGCTAGAGGTACTGTGAGCACTGAGCTAACTAAATGATAACCTCCACCCCCACCCATATGGTTATGATGGCAAAGAGCATGTTTTGCTCTGGGAAACCCGAAAAAAGTTACAGATCAAAAAGTAAAATAGGAGGTGCACAATGGCATTATGTAACAAAGAATCTGTGAACGTATCATTAAATTTTATTCAGTGGTATCACTGGTATAGAAGGAGTTGCGGATAAGAAATGGGTAGCCTTCAATATTATAGAAAAAATGGCAGTTTCCTGCTATCCATGTTTTGCTCTGGGAAACCCGAAATATGTGTCGGATCAAAATGTAAAATATGGGGTGTACATCAGCACTATGTAACAAACATTCTGTGAAAGTCTCATTAAATTTCCTTCAGTTGCATAGGAAGAGTTGCAGATAAGAGATGGGTACCGAAAAGCGTAACAGACGGACGGACGGACGGACGCACAGCTAGACGGACGTACACCCCGATCACTATATACCCTCCCGCTTTTCAAGCAGGGGGGTATAATGACTAAAATTTAATGATATTTTCATAAATGTTTTATTACATTATGCCATTGTGCACCTCCTATTTAATTGTTTGATATGACAGTCATTTCGGGTCTTATAGGGCAGAGCAATTACTTAGCTTCTATACTCATATGCGAGGGAATGTATCATTTAGAGAGCTCAGTACTCACAGTACCTTTAGTTTATTTTACATTTTTCTTGAAAAGTTTCAGCTCTGTTAGTAAAAACAATTGAAAGAAACAAGGTATGTTTTATAATTATCATTTTTTGAATCTGGAATCAGAAACATATGGCTGAATTTAAGACAGAGGACAATTTTATAATTAAACACGAGGCTCGAAAAGACAAGACTAATAGAATCTATATTCTAAAAGTAGAATTTTACTAAAACTTTTCGTAAAGAATTCTTAAAGTATTGCCTTTCAGTGTGTTGTAATGATTATCTTTGCAATTTGAGATGGATATTTTCATTGTTCATAACTGGTTTCAGTCTGGGAGGTTGAGACATGTATTTTGCAACACTTTATATCCAAATTACGATTCCATGTTTATGCATGTACATGTTTGACTCCTATACCTATTTCAACATTTCCATGACAAATATGTTTAAAAGTTATTTAAGAATTTCCCCAACTTGTAATAAATTTCGAAATTCCATCGCTCATATGATGTTTAAGGGGAAATCCCCGTATTTTAACTTCTAATATCTTTCTTTTGCGATACCATGCATGGCTGAAGTGCGAATAATAAATAAAAGTAAAACCGAGAGATGATAAGAAGTTATATACACGTCATGTTGGTATGGCTGAAGAGATTAAGAAATACCCTAAATTAATAAATTATATTTTCAATAGTAGAACTTTTTTTTCAATCAGTCACTCAGTTTATTTCGCTCAAACCATATAACATGGTATATGAGGAACATAAAGTACATGTATACATCAGAATAGATATTATAACTATAAATAAATATATGAATGCAAAAAATTCATGCAGTTTAATGCCATGTAATGCATTGGGTCAGTTTGATTAGCTGTGATGGGTTCGATAAATATGAAACGGAATTAATAAATTACAATTACTTTTGTTTCCAAGTGCGATTTGTTAAATTCTGGACAACTGCGTGATGTGAAAGAAAAAGAAATGTACGAATAATTACATTTGATGAAATGCTATACATAAATTGAAGTGTCATATAGGAGGTATTTATACGTGAGTGTAGTATTTATCTGAAAATACAATGAAAAAAAAACACATTTATTTTACTATTACAAAAGAATGATAACACACATACAAAACTACAGATCTTAAACCCGGAAACTGTAATATAATTATTATATATTTGCAATCTTCTTTTCCAGATTTTGTTTTCAAGATAACGTTAATTTTCATAGCTTCGTTCCCATCCCCAGTGAGACAAAGACTGGAATGGAATTCATTCTCCCCCTTCCACATAGCTTAAACTCTGCCTCCCATTGTTTTCATTTTCCTGGCACGTCAAATTTCAAAATCGTGAAAAAAGCATGGAAAACGTCAGATATGTCGGGCTATCACTATCATGTTCCATGATTTGATAATTTGAATCTTCATAATCTGAGAATAATCTCATTTGACAAGGAGCATGCATACGGCGGATGTGACCGGTCGGCAGGGGATGCTCACTCCTCCATGGCACTTGTTCCCACCTCTGGTGTTTTGGAAGTCCGTGTTTTCTCTGCTCCTATTTTGTATTGTTTTATCGACTTTTGATCTTGAATAATGTTCGTTATCTCCATACCGGTATGTTTCAATTTAATATAACTAATAATGGTCTTGCCTTGTTCTTCTTGAGAAGTAGGATTTAAAAGCTTTTAAAATATGTCAACATGAAATCATCTGCATGTGTGCAATTTCAAGCGCGGATCCAGGAAGTTATTTCCAGAGGGATCTACCCCAGTCAAAAAAATTCCAACTGTGAAAAACATTTCCCCCCGGTCATTGACTTTCAACCTTCAAATCTATGACTTTTCATACCAGATACATAGATTTGTGTTTTCGAGGAGGGGTTTGTGTTTTCTTCATCAAAATCAAAAACTGATACACAGAATTATGTATCTTAGTGTAGTCTACTTGTGTGCCAAGTTATATTGAAATCAGGGGGATCTGTAGCAACCGTGTGCCAAGTTATACTGAAATCAGACTAAACTGTAGAAGGATGATTAAAGAATTGTGTATCATAAACTGTTTGAAAGAATAACGCCGCTTAATGATAGAAATATTATTATATATTGCAATACTTAATGATATTTGTATCATTAAGCGGCGTATATCATTAGCGGTTGCTACAGGGATCCAAGTTTACTTTTACTTGATTTAGTACATTGTATATATACATTTAATAACTGCAAATTCTAAGGCGGTGTTTTCGAGGGGGGTTTGCGTTTTCGGACCCCTCGCCGCTTAATGATCCGCGAATGCAAATTCATAGAATATATAAAAAAAATAATGAAAATGCTTTTTAAAAACATTAAAAGTTCTTCCTTGTAGCAAGACTTTTATGCACATCCAATAAAGTCCGACTTTCTTATTTAAGGAAGTGCATACTTTAAATGCAATAATGACTTTTAATAATAGATGTTTTAGCATCTTAAAAGCCTTTTCCTGTCGGAAATTGAATTATACATATAATTTCCTTGTGGACCAACATTACATGTATACTAGTAATAAAAATCTTTAAATTTATCAGTATTGCACGTCATTTTGAAGAAAAAAAACATGGCAGAATACGATAGTGTTGAATTCCGATTTGGATCTCCTCAAGTTAGTGTCCCACAGTGTGAGAAACACTCGGAAATTGAAAACCTTTTCTGTAACGACTGTGATGAATTAATATGTACAGACTGCGCAAAAACAGAACATCGAAATCACGACTGGAACACGGTCCGAAAAGCATCAACCAAGAAGAAATCGCGCCTCTCCGGAATATGCCTGGAAATCAAAGACGAAGAGCTGCCAAATATTGCAAAGCAGATTGTAAAAATTGATTCGATGGTGAAACAAAACATTGCAGATCGAGATGGAGAAATATCCAAATTAGAATGTCACTACAGAGAAATTTTAAGCGAATTTACCAAATGTGTCGAAGAAAGTAAGAAAGTTTTAAAAACTGGAGCCGAAAAGAAGAACAGAAAACTGATGGAAATTCAGTCGAAGTTAAAGGAAAAAGAGACAGAACTCCGGGACAGGGTCGGGGAACTGGAAGGTTCTTGCTCCCTCTCTGGCTACAATTTGCTGAATGTGAATTGTCGATTAAACAAGGTTTCGTCTTTAGTTAAAGACGAGGAAATTGAAAATCAAAGATATTCGTTACATTTTAAAAATGGTACAATATTAAAGGAAATTGTAACATCTTTCCTTGGAGAAGTTAAAGATTTCGACGACTTTTCTGTGACAAAAATTGCGTCGTTTAAACACGAGAAAGGGAACATCATTGCTTTAGAGGTGGACAACTACGAGAATGCTATTCTAGTAGCCTCTGACCAAACTCACTTCGACAAAGTTACCAAGAAAGGAAAACTAAAGAGTAGAAACGAAATTGATTGCGATATAAACGTTATTGCCGTACTCTCCGATGGCGATATTCTTTTCTCAGACAGCGGAAATAGAGCAGTTAAACGGCTAACCAACAACAAACTTGCGACTATCGTGGAAACCTCTCCACTTACTCCTGAAGGGGTATGTTTGACAACTGATGGTGACTTTTTGGTCACAATGGCTGATCCTTGTGGAGAAACATGCACAAAAGATTGCAAAGGTTTAGTCAAACTGTACTCTCTGCAAGGACACGAAAAGAAAGTTTATGAATACCAAGAAAATGGAAGAAAGTTTTTCACGCAGCCGTTCAGAATAACAGAAAACGCTAACACGGATATTTGCGTTTTGGACAACTTGGATGATGAACATGGTGTTCTTAAAGTGATATCAAGGACCGGTCGTTTCCGCTTTATTTACAAAGGAAATAAAGGTCATCTATTCTTCCCAGTGGATGTTGTTTGTGATAACCTTTGCAATTTGATTGTGATGGATGCAAAAAACTACAGCATTCATCTTCTGGATTCTGGTGGCGAATTTCTCAAATACTTGAGAACAGACCAGGAAGACAAGAAAACTTCATTATCGCTGGCCCTTTGTGGGGACATTCTATGGACTGGGGGTCACAGTGGACATTTAAATGTGTACAGATATTCAAATCATTTTTGAGCAGTGGACAGTGACATTAAAATATAATATGAATTAACATTACTTATATTGTCAGTAGTCACAGGTCCAAATCCAAATGGAAGCTATGGGGACCAGTCCTTTAGATGACAGCAATAAAACTACTAGTATTTAACATATAAACTAAAGTCCCATCACACAGTATTTGCAAGAAAGAATAAAATCATTCAATGCCCCATGGCCATTAGTGCTGAATACAGATATATTTTACCAGCAGCAAGTGGTGGCCGCCTGCATCCCAGTTTGAGTGAAAAATTCTCAAGCAGTCAAAGCTAATGGTCAAAACATGCCATAAGCACACACACTTCAACTGAACAGATACTGTGGACAATTGAGCAACCATATAATCTTTATGATCACATGTAATTCAATTGCCAGTATTTCAGAAAAAATGAAGATTTATGTTTTATGCTACATAATTCATGGACAACTTTGGAAACTTCCTGATTCTTGATGATTATGTAGTAAACCATTCATACAGCAGAACCAAAAAAATAAATAAATAAAAGTATTTTATTAATGTTAATCAATTAATCATCATAATAGGCTGGAAACCTTTTCCACTTGAAGTTAGATACAGGGAATTTCCTTGGTCTGCCTTCTTTTGGCGGTGGCCTGAACTGTGGCATCAGTCCTGTAAGACATAACACATACAGTCTGGATATCCTTGAGAGAAAGAAGACATAAACCTTTCATTTAACCTTTTGTAAACACATCAATTGTAAATGTAAATAATTTTTTTTGCAAATAAATGTATCTAAGTTAATTTTCTTTCTTGACATTAAATTAGCCCAATCTAAACTTAATTAAAAGAAATACAAGTTACATGTATTAAGATCAATGGTATACACCTATTTAGAATTATTGCCACAAAGACAGTTTTATCTGTTTAGTGTAACAAATGATTTTCTATGTACCGGGGGTATTGGACTTTCAAAGTTGTATAAACTTGTAAAAGTTACTCCCCTTGATAACATTATTTTAATGAGGCAAGAATTTTTTCTAACCATTAATCAAGGGGAAGACTGAGCTGTTTACAACAGCGTTGTTTCATATCCCCATTCACAAAATCAAATACTAAATGTGCTCAAGATATTTCATTTAATTTCATTAATTTGAGATTCTCTTACGGAAAAAACATCATTGTGAACAAAATTTCCACAAAGTCTCCCCATTCATCTCACATGTCCCACTTACCTGCACGCTGGGCTTTGTGGACTGCTGTTTGTAATTCATTTTGGGATTTCTGACAGACTCCAGTAGCTCTCCTAGGAAGAAGTCCACCTTTATCATTCAAAAACTGTTGAAGAATTAAAACATCCTGAAAAAATAAAATAAACTTTATACATGTATATCCATTAATAAAAAAAAAAAAACAAGAACAAAAGATCTATGAGCCTTCATGATCATCTGAGTATTGTGGGCTTCTAAAGCTATGACCGCTTTGGCTCCACCTGAATTTCTACTTATTTTATTTCAACCTTGTGTTTGAGGATTAATTGTGGGATTTTTATGCAATCCAAAGCCAATTTATCTGCATAAGAAGGATAACCGATATAGAGACAATGTCCACTATTATTTTAGGTTGTAATGAAATAAATACATGTTTTTTTAAAACTCAAAAAGCCCAGTGGTGGTACAACGATAACAAACCAGAGTGGTATACCTTTTCCAATAATGTATATTGAGGTATTTTTTTTGTGTAAAAAGATTATTTTGGTGTTTTCCTGATTTTAACTAAGGTACACCAGTGTTTAAAATAACTGGCCCAAGACGCACAAATTTTGTCACGGTCGAACAGATTGCACGTATTGATGCCCAATTGGACATATAAAATTTTTACATAAATTCAAATTCAGATATTTTATAAAATTCTCTCAAATCAACTAATATAACTGGTTGTGAGGACTGTGCAGTGCACCGAAAATGGAGATTGTTTTCATGATTTTAATACTTTTTATAATGAGTGGTTGCAAAGTGTAACAAGCAAATGGGTAGAATTCATCAGCCTCTAGGTCCGGGATAGAACATATAGTGAGCTGGCCTCATTCACATTATTGCTAAAATGAGCTAAGTCTTATAAAAGACTTTTTTTTTTGAGTTCATTTTTGGTAGGGCTGACAACTTTCACTAGCAGTCAGGCCTGCATATCTACATTGTAGCTAATTTTGCAGTGAGATTCAAACACTAGTACAAGTATACATGCACATGATAAATAAATGTGATAAAATCAGTCAGGGCATCCAGGCATTTCGCCCGTCCTCAACACTTGTTTTTGTGCTTTAAGCCTTTTTAACTTGACAGAAAATTTTAACACCCCCTTTAACTGTTTAAAGAATTGACTGGTGATGGGGTAGTAATTCATTTTTAATACAAAAGAATAGAATAGGGAAGTGATGCTTACTGTATACTTAATTTCTACATTTAAACGGCAGATTGGACATGCATCATTCTTCAGTTCAGCTGTCTTCAGAATCTTCCCCTCCCAGCCTGAGTCTACTTTCTCGCCCTCGATCTTCAATAAAAGGACAGACATTTTCATTAGTACATCAAATGTATGGATAATGGGGGAAAACGTAGAAAAGACTGACTACTCACCACAGTGATTTCTTTAGAAACAGTCTCCTTAACTGCAAAAAAATATCATTGCCTCATGAGGGTCATCTTTCTTATTGGCAGATAAATAAACATTGTCTAAGAAAATTCCTGATAAATAATGATTGAACAGCTATCAGAAAATGAAAACAATTACCTCTTAAAGCTGTTGTAGCCTGGGTTGTAGAAAAATGCCTCTTTAAAGGTTGTTCTATAAGCTTTTTAATTCTGACAAGTGAATTCAATCGACAAGCCATCTTCAAGGTTCTTTCTTCGATTAGGCTCTTAACTTTTTTGTGTATACAATGCGTCCGCACAAACACACCAATGATTAAGCACAGCAAAAAGAAAAGTAAAAACCGTGTCGGTCTACAGACCCGGATAGTTAGGCTGCTTGTCCCATTTCCCGTTTGGGGTAAATTGGTGCCGTATGTAGAAAATTTGATAATTTAAAGAAGTTGGAACCAACTCAGTGGAAAGCCCCCCATCCCCACCTACCCATATCCGAAAAAAGACTTTTTCTTTTAGAGTTTGGAATTTCTTTTTCCTTGTCATTTTTGCTAGGTACAGTAAGCGTTTTTTTCTCCGACACCCCCCCCCCCCCCCCTCTCCACCAACACACACTCGAAACGATTCTTTGTGCCCCAAGTATATAAAAATTATAAAATGATCGATGACATATGATGGGATTATAAGATAAGATAAGATAATATTATTTTCCAATTTTGGGCCCAGAAGGCGTAAAGGTTTTCTTATTATAGGATTAAAGACAGTCTTAAGAAATGCCTATGATGCTAGTTAACAATCTGAACAAAGAAAAAAAATACTTTCCCCTTATCTTTTATCTTTATCTTTATGTACGTAATACATCACAGTGTATGTACGAAATTCCGATGAATAGAATTTTATATAAATGATCATTTATTGCGATATATATATTTTAAAAATTATTTTACTGATACATTACCACTTTACTTTGATAGCGACAGAAATTGGCTAACAATGAACATTTTCACGCTAACTGATTCCCGCCTACATTTCATAACCATTTAATTCAATACTGATGAAAATTTGGCCATGAAATCATTGTTTAATACATAGAAAAGTTCAACTGTAATTGATTAATTATTTTAAGACCAATGCTAAATAGTAAAATATCCCGAATTCCAGCTCTTGAAATAAGGGGGGTAGACGATATTTTCCATAGAAATCGGGCTATAAATCATCACAATATTTTGAAATAGCATTTGATATTAATAAATGTTTCTGAAATCTTTTTTTTAATGTATCATGCATTTAAAATGAAGCATATATAGTAGTAAAATACAACATTTCAGTTGTAAAGCACTTTGAAATAGCTGGAAAAATAAGCATTTTTTGTCGTTTTTTGTCTGTAAACATATCTCCCCCCCCCTCCCACCTCCCTGAAACACAAAAACCTTTGGTATGAATTTGTGAAATGACAGTCGATATTACCCGTTAAAAGGAATTTGTGTGTCACGGGGGGATGTTTTAAAAATATTTTCTTTTTTCCATTGATTTCTATAGTGAAAAACACGAGTTGTACTAAAATTTTAATGTTATCTCTCGTTTTTCCCAAATAAGTAATGTTTTATGAAAATCCATATAAATATCAATGAAAATATTAAAAATCATGCAAAAAAAAGGGGGGGGGGACCATATAAAAAAATACATCCGAAAAATTACTCTACTCTACTACATTGTATATAACTTCCAACCCACTGTCTGTGACGATAATTATCATCTTAAAGGGAACGAAAAATCCATGTATTTCTATTTGGTTGTTGTTGTTAATGATCAATACTGTTGCTCGCATAAAAATCAAATCACGGAGAGAAACGGAATATTTTACATATCTCCACTTATTTATTAAAGAGAGGACTATCCAAAAATATTTAATTAATACATCAGATCTGGCTGATATCATATATCTAGAAATAAAATATTTCCATGTCTCTGCTGGTGCCAACTATGACGTAACAATATAATTTATTGATGACGTTGATTATCTGTGACGACATAATCATTTTCCATTTATCAACCAAACCAGGAAGATGGAGATTCGAATGCTGATTACCGAGACAATATATGTCATGAAGTTGATAATGAATTCGATCATGTGTTACCCAATATACGTATTTCTTACATGGTAACGGCACATTACTTTCGAAATTTTGTCAAAGACTTCGCTTTTATTAGAATAATCAATTAAAGTAAAATTAGACTTTGCTTTTCTTTCAATAATCAATTAAAGTAAAATTCATATTTGATCCATTTATCCTTTTCAGTCATGAGAAAGAGCCGTCTTTTTGGGATAAGGTGTCTTATTACTTTAGGATAAGAGAACCGGTTCAAGTTTGTCCCGATGTTAAAAACATTTCCATGGTGAGTAATTCTGGACAGTTTTTTTTTTTTAAATATTAATTCTAAGTAAAGCTGTAATAATTTTTTTTAGATGTATATTTACCTGAGCTTTACTTTTACAGATGGTTTTATTGTTACTATTGATGGAGATACTCTGGATGGTGATTTTATTGTTTGCACCAAGAGGTGAACCGAGAAGAAAGGTAATAGCAACACAATACAATTTAAGCATGTATTGCTAATGTAAAGCTCCCTATTCATTTTTTTTAAACTTTCGATATAATTTGTTAAATAAACAAAATATTGAGATTATCTTTTTTTTTTACATATAGAAATTTGATAACGCTGCAACCCAGTACGAACTTACAGAAACAAGGGATTATTTATCCCCAGAAGTTTTGCAATCCGATAGCTTCTTAAGAGAAAATGACTGGTCATCCGAAACTTTGTGTCCCCGGGAAACAGTAGATGATGAGAGGGCTAATTAACTCAGCAATGAGTGGATTGGACAATAGCTTGGAGAGGAAAATCATCACTGGAACAGTGTGTCAAGTGGAGCAGATAGAAATAAACCAGGATTTGAATGCTGGAGAGAAATGTGAACATTAACAAAATCTTGTATATGTATATTTGTTTGATAGGTTTTTGAAAACTGAATTTATTCAGTGTGTATGTATAATCAATTTGGCGAGTAGTCGTGCATTATGATGGCAAGATTAATTAGTATGTTTTATCATTATGGCTTCGTATAACTATTTTGATAAAGTTGATTACCTGAAACTTTTTTTTTCTTTTTTTTAATTAAAAGGGAATTGAAAAATAATGTTCCAACTTTTTTCCCCAAAAGGATTACTGCGGTAAATAAATTCAAGTACATGCAAGCACTATGAATGTATCTTATAAAAATATATACACGTAGTTATCAGTTTCTCGACATATTATTTTTAAAACAATGTGATTTTTCTCCTCTAAAGTATACTAGTACCAGGATGTACATGTGGGTGTGTGAGGGAGTGTACTGTGAGGGTGTGTTTATGCATAAATCATTTTAATTAATTTTCGAATTAAAATCAAAATATCCATTTATGATTTTCTGATATCCTAAATTCAAAATCTTTTTATTAAAAAAAAAACAAAAACGGTTATTTTCGTAATTAGATTAATTAGTGTTGGATAGAGGACATTATTGGGAGCTCAGAGTCGATTTAGACAAAAAGTTAGTTTTCCCTACCATCGTGGAAACCAACCTAAGACCAGACGCAGTTTTAGTGTCCCAGTTGAAAACGTTGGTCGCAATCGAGCTGACTGTGCCATGGGTAGAAAATTGTGAGGGGGCACATGAGAAGAAGAGCCTTAAGTATGCAGTCCTCATGGCAGACTGCAGGGATAGAGGCTGTAGTGTCTGGCTGTTTCCAGTAGAGGTCGGCTGTAGAGGTTTCCCAGCACAATCAGTGCGGAAGCTGCTCACACGATTAGGTGTATCAAGATGAGCATGCAAGACAGCAGCAAGGAGACTGGCAGAAGCAGCAAAGTCATCCTGCTGGATATGGCACCGCCGAGACGATATATGCTGCAAGTCGGGATCCATCGTGTAGTGGATTGGTCATCACTGCTGACCCACCAACTGGAGGATGTCAAGGTTAAGGGTCTGAAACATCAGGTGAAGGTTGGGGACCATCTGAAGTCGATCGGAACCGACAGGCGAGCACCATGGGCAGATAGCTTAAGAGTGCCAAGCTGACAGTATAATATAAAAAATTCTTTAGGATTATCTGTCAGAGAAACATTTTTTTTTATAAAAAATTCTAATGAAATTCATTTTTTGGATATCAGAAATTCGAATACCTGATATCAAAATTCGATTTTCGAATATAAAAAATTCATCAAGAAATCTATATTTTTATATCAGAAAATATTTTTGATATCAAGAATTATTTTTTGATATAAGGAATTCGAACTTTTTAAGATTTTTTTTAAATATCAAAAAATACCTGAAAGACATTAACACGGCACCTCATGAATAACCGCCTTATAGTTTTGCAAGGCAAACATTATTCACCGAAGATTTAGAATTATGTTTGATTTAAAGAGGGATCTTTTATCTCACCCGAGCCGAATGTGTCTGTCTACTTGTCTTCAAACTCTGTACATTTTAGATATCTTCTCAAGAACAACGGGGCCAAATTCAGCTAAACTAGCAAAGAAGTATCCCTTGGTAAAGGAAGTTCAAATTTGTTTCAAATGAAGGACCAGTCCTTCTTCCAAGAGAATGATAATTCTTGAAAAAAAAAAGAATGACATCTTTTTGAAAATCTTTTAAAGAATCCCTAGATTAGAAAAAAATAAAACTTGCTAATGTTCTCAAGAACAGCATTTATGACTATAGTCATATAAATGAAGAAGCGTGCTCAGGAAGTGGAAATTCTTTTCAAATCATGTCCTCGGAAAAACTGTATGTATTTGAAAAGGAGACCGCCCCAAAGGTTACATACACACTGTTTTTATCCATACCATACAAGCACTTCCGCATCAGTTTTGTGATGACCTAGGTAACTAGAAGGTGTAGATGATGCAGGTAAGTATAGATATATCCTAAACATATGTTTTACCATTAAAAACCAAAGTTTTCATCAATAACTGCATTTCCCTTCATCAACCTTTTGCAGAACTCGTAGAAGATCATGGCTGGATCAGTAAAGGTAAAAATTCAACTCACATGACAGGTATACTTTATTTCTATTCATTTACCCGTTGCCCATCTTGACGTGCCAAGGACTAAAGAATTGAAGACTTGACATAGAAAGCCCCTCTTTAATGTACATCTCTCATGTAGAATGCATTAAAACTGGTTTTTGTTGCTCAATGAGCTGATTGTATTTTCATAATGTTGCTCTATTGAAAAGGGCTATAAAGTTGCCATTCATCTAGCATATACGCTATAGATAACGTCTGGTTATTCTGTCCATACACAAATTTTACAAGAAACAAATTCATCCAGATATGGGTGCTGGGTTTTCCCGATGGTCTTTGAAGGCTTGATTTGTAAGAAAAAAATATCACTTTTCATTATTACAAGACGACATTATACTTTCCAGCTCTGCAAGGAAATAAAAGCATTTCCTGCCTGTTGCAAAGTTGTTTAACTGGTATGAAGATAGGTTTCCATGGTTTACCTAAACTTTTAATCGTGACCTTTTGTGTTTGTGTTTGGTAAAAGTCGGATTCCATTCCTGTCTAGTGCGCCTCTCTGATGAGTATAAATTTCACCCACCCTTGAAGCCGTTAACAAAGGAACTAGAAACACAAGACAGAAATTTCATTTTACAGTTTTGGAAATAATGGTCGTAAATTTGGTTTAGAATTAAGCTGAATTATATATTCCTTTAATTAATTCTGATAAGTTTGTATTATTATTGTCGGAACTGTTGCTCCAGCCATTGTGAATAGATGCTTTTGCTGACCCACAACATATAATAGTGTTCGACTTACAGCTATACTCTTTATGCCGGTAAATTAAAATAGCTACGGTGGACTCACGAGGACATTTCAGGTTTGTGAAAGACTCTCTTCTGTGTCTAACACTATCTTACTGAGAGTTGCAGATAGTTTTTCTCAGAAAAAAAATTCCTGAACCTTTGTCTTTTGAATACAGAGAGAGCTGATGAAATCAGGGCCCTCAAAATGGACTTGGAATAATTAACTGTCCCCTCTTTCGTGTTTACAAGTTTCTTATTATGGGTTGTTACCTTGTTAGCAGATTAAGTAGGATTGGAAACCATGTCTGTCTTATAATTAGGGAGGGCCATCAGAATAAGGTCACTAGGCTCCTGATCTACATTTTTTTCTAGTACTTTTGGAACTAATATTGGCGATAGCAATGTTTATGCAAATCTCCAGTTAAATTAATGCATTTCCTGCTAGAGGATCTGGATAAGGAGAAAAATGTTATTTTTCTATGTGTTTTGTGAACTTTTGTCACAAACAGCTTATAGCGGACCCAAAACGGACAAAAAGTTAAACTACTTCCTGATTCAGAGTCAATTTTGTCATTTTAGGACTTTGTCGTCCTCTAGGCAACTGACCCGCTATCACATATCTTTTCCAGGTTATGTTTGCTGCTCCAAATTGTACCCTCCAAAGTCGACACCATTGCAGAATCCTCATGTCAACATTCAGACGATTCTCTAGGTTTTGATATAGAACACCACTTGTGAGTTTTCTATCCTCAATAACGTTAACCATGCGGGAAACTTGTATAAACCATATCTCTTGGAGTAGAAAGAGAACTCAACGGTAAGTACTCAGTTATCTATTGATTTGGGTGTAGGATTGATTTGGATTCATTAATAACTAGACCTATCCATAAGCAGAAGGAGAGTTCTCTGTAGGTTGGTGCATATTGTCATTCGATCTGTGGAAAATCCGTTGAAAATTCAGAGTGTAAGTAAAGGACTAACAATTAGTATGAAAAACGTCAGTCAACATTCCACTAAATGATAGATAGTATACGTCCGCATACACAGGTGACGACTGATAACACTGAACAGTTACTGAGTCAACCGCTTTATATAGGGGTCCTCAGATATAGCGGAAGTCCGATCGATAATGGCGGACATATCCCTCTTACGAATTGTGTTCAGCTTTAACTATCACCTGCATTTTGGTTTACGTCTCCAAACTTTTATGATACCCAAGAACATCTTTTAAGTTCAATCAATTTTTGAACCGATACAAGTTACCGTCAGATAAAATGATACTAAAGGGATTTCAACAACCTCGTTTATTGTCGGTGTTTGGTAATTATTTGGTCGTCATAATGGTTTTGTAAACAAATAGAACCTTTCACTGGGTATTTTTCCGTCTACTGAACAATACACTGCTGTAGGAAACATATGACAGAAAAACAGTAAGAAACATGTCTCAATTTATTCGAAACCCTGTGTACAGTCAGAAAAGGACACATTCTCAAGAATAATTGTCAACACCAACACAGGGTCACACAACAAATTTACCACCATTGTGAAACAGCGTCAGTAGCGTGTAAAATCCCCTCGGATGGCCAGACAAGCTCTTATTCGGCGTGGCATACTCCTAACGAGACTTCCCAGGTCGTTTTGAAGAAGGTTATTCCATTCCTTGTGCAATGATGCGGCAAGTCATTGGCAGGAGGTTGTTGACGTTGGCGTAGCCGCTGTCCAATTACTAGTATGTCCCAGACATGATCGATGGGGGAAAGGTGCAGACTGAGTGTGGGCCATGGTAATGTGGTGATATTCTGCTGTTGGAGATTATTTGTAACGATATCTTGGCCGTATGTTATTTGGCATTGTCATCTTGAAAAAATGAAACGTCGGCCATAACGACGTGCAAACGACACAACATGGGGTGCCAAGAAGTTGTCCAGGTAGTACTGCCCTCCAGCAGCAACATGCAAGACTGTTCTGCCGGTAACAGTGATACCTCCCCAAACCATTACAGATTCACCCCGTACCGATCATGTCTAATGACATTAACGTCATGGAAACGTTCGTTACATCGGCCCCAAATCCCCCTGCGTCTGTACAAGAAGTCCACAGTGAACCTCTACTCATCTGAGAACATTACGTGATTCCATTGGCGATTATCCCAGCGTTGATGGTGACGACACTATTGGAGTCGGGCTCTAATGTGATGATCCCTCAAACAGGGATTGACAAGAGGACGCTGGGATTGTAAATGAAATCTATGCACTCACTACCAAGC